CATCGACTCAGTTGTGACCATGGGACATTCTGTGTCATGTACCACTTGTATGGCAAGGCAATGCTCATCAAGTTAAAATTCTTAATTTTCATTTTTTAATGTTTACTTCTTTTTTAGAGAGAGAGGCAGAGACACAGAGTCCGAAGCAGCCCCAGGTTCTGAGCTGTCAGCACAGAGCCCAACAGCGGGCTCAAACTCACGAACCACAAGATCGATGACCTGAGCCAAAGTCAGACGCTTCACTGAGCCATCTAAGTGTCCCTATCAGGTTCAAATGTCTCAGAAATGTTTGCTCATCTCCAGGAACACTCGCAGAACAAGTTACTCACAATCCAAGGTTTGACTGTGTTCTCCTTCAGCTTTACTTAGACTTGACATCGTATCAATTAAGGGCTTGTGTGCTGCAACTCTATTACAAAGACATGTTACCTATTATGTTAGAAGGATGAAGACAATGTAATGGGAGTAAAAGAAGAGAAACATTACTTGAAACTAACATGATTTGTCTCCATGCAAGCAGAGAGATTTGGGGGTTATTTGGAAGTTGCATGTGTTTCCTGAAGGCCTTGGAATAAGATGATGACCTAATCTAATCACTCACAGAGCATTCTGTTCTCCAGATTTCATTACATGGCATAAAGGATCTATATGTCAGATGGCAACTAAACTCAGAACAATTTCTGAGGGACATGAAGGAAATCTACCAAATTATTAAACCGATGAGCACTAGCCATGAGAAGGTTGGCCACAGGATGATTCATGTCACTGACAGCGACAAGTGTTTATACACTGTGACAGGTGATGTGGCAAAGATGCAACACAATTGACAAAAAGGTGACTGTGTGTGACAAATGAGACTATCTTGAGCCTAAGCTATCAAATGGCCAACCAAGAAAGAAACACAGCAAACCTGGTCAAATCAGACTATTGAAAAACCGATCAAGTAATAGAGAGCACACTGTCACCATTCTGCCTGGACTATCTCCAGGATGAAAGTCATACAATAGGACTTTCTCATGTTTAATAGATGTGACTCAATAAATACTAAATATGGTAATAATACTCACATATACAATATTATCTGTTTGGGAGTGGAAAGTTTACTTGCCATAATCTTCTGGCCAGCCCCTCTTACAAACATTTTGTAATTTTTTCTATTTCACATGTGCTAAGATGACAGATTTGGCCTGAATACCTGAGTTAACAGGTAACAGCATAAATATTTTGGATGGCTGAAAAAAATTATTTTTCTGAGCTTTAATTTTTCATGGATAAAAATAGGAATCATTGGGGCACCTGGTTGGCTTATTCGGTTAAGCGTCCGACTTTCGCTTAGGTCATGATCTCGCGGTTCGTGGGTTCTAGCCCCACGCCGGGCTCTGTGCTGACTGCCAGCTCAGAGCCTGGAGCCTGTTTCAGAGTCTGTGTCTCCCTCTCTCTCTGGCCCTCCCGTGCTCATGCTGTCTCTCTCTCTCTCCTAGAAATAAATAAAAAACAATAAAAAATTTTTAAAAAATAGGAATCATGATAACAAATACTAAGAGAAGAAGTTCCCATATTTTATTTTATTTTTTAAGTTTATTTATTTATTTTGAGAAAAAGAGCACAAGTAGGGAAGGGCAGAGTGAGGGAGAGAGAATCCCAAGCAGGCTCTGCACTTCAGTGTGGAGTCCGATGTGGGACTGGAACCCATGAGTCATCAGATCATGACTTGAGCTGAAATCAAGAGTCAGGCGTGTAACTGACTAAGCCACACAGGGGCTCCAATTCCATATATTTTTAACTTTTATTGATTTATCTTGAGAGAGAGAGAGAGAGCAAGCACGTGGGGGGAGGGGCAGAGAGGGAGTTAAAGAATTCCATGCAGGCTGCATACTGTCAGTGCAGAATCCCATGTGGGGCATGCCCTGAGCCAAAATCAAGAGTCAGATGCTTAACTGACTGAGCCACGCAGGTGCCCCCAATTCCCACATGTGAAAAGAAGCAATGGAGAAAATGAAAATGAGAAAGATGTTTTGGCTTCCAAAAATTCTCAACTTACATTTCCTTGTCCAATTTCACCATTATATTATGCCATTCTCCACAGAGAAAATAAAATGTATATCCTACAAAGGAATATTATTTGTAAAGGAAGAATACTGCTCAATATACAAATCCTGTAAAGAATTGAAATGTAGATGACTTTAAGCAATGTGAGTTAAGTTGGTTAGCTGCTCACCTCCCACAGCACACAAAGATTTTTTAAAATGGGTTATAGAACTAAATCTAGAAGGAAAAGGTATTAAGCTTCCAAAATAAAATACAAGAGAGAAATCGTGTGATCTTCAGGTTAAGTAAATATTTCTTAGGACATAAAAATACATGACTTATAAAAGCTAAACATGTAATAAATGGGACTTCCTCAAAATTTAAAAGTTTTGCTCTTCAAAAAACGCCATTAAGAAATGAAAAAGAAAGACACAGGACAGGAAAAAATACAAACATCTGGCAACTGGATATACATTTTTCCTCCTCAGTTTTTATTTAAACGCCAGTTAGTTAGCGTACACTGTAAGATTAGTTTCAGGTATAGAATTGAGTGATTCGCCACTTCCATATAACCCCTGGTGCTCATCACTACAAGTACCTCTTTATCCCCATTATCTATTTAACACATGCCCCCACCCACCTCTCCTCTAGTAACCATCGGATTGTTCTCTATACTTGAGACTCTGTTTATTGATTTTTGTCTTTCCCCGCCCCCCCATGTTTGTCTGTTTTGTTTCTTAAGTTCCACATAGGTGAGTGAATGCATATAGTATTTGTCTTTCTCTGACTTATTTCACTTAGCATAATATACTTCAGCTCCATCCATATCATTGCAAATGGCAAGATATTTCGTTTTTATGGCTGAGTCATATTCCATTATGTAGTGTGTGTGTGTGTGTGTGTGTGTGTGTGTGTGTGTGTGTATCTGACATCTTCTTATCCATTCATCAGTTGATGGCCATTTGGGTTCTTTCCATAATGTGGTTATTGTTAAGAATGCTACTATAAACATCAGGATGCATGTATCCCTTTGAATTAGCATTTTTGTATTTTTGGGGGAAATACCTAGTGAGACAATTGCTGGATCATAGGGTAATTCTATTTTTAACTTTTTGAGGAAACACCATACTGTTTTCCAGACTGGCCGCACCACTTTGCATTCCTACCAACAATGGAAGAGGGTTTCCCTTTCTCCACATCCTCACCAACACCTATCAGAATATACATATGTTAAATCTTCCTAAACTCTGTAAGACAGCTCAAATTTTTAAGTGGACAAAATATTTGAATATACATTCACAAAAGCAGATATGCAAATAGTCAATAAGCAGATAAAAAGATTCTCATCGGGGTGCCTGGGTGGCGCAGTTGGTTAAGCATCTGTCTCACAGTTCGTGAGTTTGAGCCCAGCGTCAGGCTCTGTGCTGACAGCTAGCTCAGAGCCTGGAGCCTGCTTCAGATTCTGTATCTCCCTGTCTCTCTGACCCTCCCCTGTGCACGCTGCACCCCCCTTCTCTCTCTGTCTCTCAAAAAAAGTAAAAAACGTTTAAAAAAAAAGAAAAGATTCTCATCATCACTGGTTACTAGGGAAACACATATTAAAACCACAATGAGATAGCCCTATGACATCAGAATGAGTCAGAATGTCATTTTAAAAAGACTGAGCATAGCAAATGTTAGCAAAGATGTGGAGCAACTGGAACCTACATCTTGCAGAAGGGAATGTAAAGTGATTCAATGAACTCTGAAACACTAGCAGTTTCTTACAATTTCAGCTAAGAAAAATAAACACACATGTTCACAGAACGTGTTATACATAAATATTCATAGCAGGTTTATTCACACCAGGAAACGTGTGAAATGACCACGTTTCCATCAAATGGTAAATGGATAAACAATAGGAAGTCTATCCGTACAATGTAACACTACTCAGTCATAGAAAGAATGAACTACAGATACAGGCAACAACATGGATGAACCTCCAAATCCTAATATTAATTGACAGAAATCAGACACAAAGAATACATACCATGGGACCCCATGTATATAAAATTTTATAAGAAGCAAACTCATTTAGAGTTACTCCAACAAATCAGTGACTGGCTGGGGCCCAGATAAGATAGAGAGATAAAATGCAAAGGGGCAGGAGAAAGAAATCTTTTGGGGGTGATGGAGATATTCTGTATCATGAGTATGGTGGCAGTTTCACAGGAAGATACAACTGTGTCCAAACTCATCAAAATCTACTCTTTAATGGGCTTACTTGGTTGTATATAAAATATAGCTCAATGGGAAGTTTTTAAAGATGAACCTCAGAGTTCAGGGGGAAGCAAGCTTAAATAAATAATTCAGAAGTAAAGTAAAACATAAAGAACTCACTGGGGAATTTTACAGCAGTCTGAAAACACCTGCCACAATTCATAAACTTGATATCCAAATTGAAACTCAACTAGAAAAAGGGGTATAAAGACCCTAACAAAGGTGTTCCTGTGTAGCTCAGTCGGTGAAGCTTCTGACTTCAGCACAGGTCCTGATCTCACGACTCAAGAGTTCAAGCCCTGCATCAGGGTCCTGTTCTCAGTGTAAGCGGAGTTCAGATCCTCTCTGTCTCCCTCTCTCTGCCCCTCCCTTGCTCATGCTCTCTCTCCCGCAGTCTTTCTCTCTCCTATTCTCTTTCAAAAATAAACAAACATTAAAACAAAAAGAACCTAAGAGAGTAAGAGAAATGTCAGATAAACGAAGTTCTATGAAAAGAGAGAAGAGAGGATAAGAAAGATGTAGCCATTTGAGAAATGATGGCTGAGAAGTTTCCAAACTGATGAACAATATTAACCATAGTTTCAAGATTAGTAATCCCAAACAGGAAACTTTCTATAAAGGAAACTGCTTCTATGTACACCGTAGTCAAACCAATGAAACTAAAGATAAAAAGCAGTCGGGCCCCGCCACCTGCCGCCCAGTCATTTTCTGACTCCCTCCGGCCTAGCCCGTCAGGTCTTGGGCTCATTCGCGTGTCCCAGAGCTTTCCGAGGAGCGCGCGGAGCCCACTCCCGGCCGGGCGGTGATTAATGGATGGCTGGGAATTGACGTATATATATACATTCAGAAATGTTTTGCCACCTGAGACCTGTGAGAAGGTTATGTCTAGAGAAGAGATTTCCACACTGGTTGCTCTACTCAAGAGCTTTATCGGGAGCTGAAGCGGTCAATGCCTTGAGGCCATTCTATTTTGCAGTACATCCAGATTTCTTTGGACAACACCCCAGAGAGAGGGAAGTCAATGAAAATTCTCTTAAGAGATTAAGTGTCTACTTGGAAAACCTCCAGAAACCAGGCTTCAAGTCTTTGAAACCAACTCAGCTTACATTTTATGTGAGAGAAACAGAGCAGAACGCCTCTGAAGGCCAGGAGCCCTTTAGCACATCCGTTTATCTGTTGAACATATCCAAAGCTTGAATTCTAATGTGTATTCCCAGCCTCTCAAAGAGGCTAAAAGGATGTCTGACAGGCCCATCAAGTGGGACAAGTCTTATTACTACTTTACTGGATTCAAGGACCCTCATGAAGACCTTGAACAAGTCTCAAGAATGGAAACAACCCTCACATCCTGGTTAGATAGCAATGGGAAAAGTGCAGTTAAAAAGTTGAAGAACAGTTTGCCACTTAGAAAAGAACTAGATCGCTTAAAAGACGACCTGTCCCATCAGCTGCAGCTCTCAGACATCAGGTGGCAGAGGAGCTGGGGCGTCGCCCATCGCTGTAGCCAACTTCACAGCTTGGGCCGCCTAGCACAGCAGAACTTGGAGACACTTAAAAATGCAAAAGCTTTTTGAAAGATTACCAAGTTATTTTGACCTTCGGAGGAGGCTGATGCTCTTAGAAGACCAAATAAGCTATCTTCTAGGTGGCATACAAGTGGTTTATATCGAAGAATTGCAGCCAGTATTGACACTTGAGGAGTATTACTCGCTTCTTGACGTGTTCTATAATCAACTGCTGAAAAAGAGAATACCCTTTCACCCTCGAAGTCTGCGTGGTTTACAAATGATCCTTAACAGGTAAATATCTAAAATAAGAATTCGTTTTATTCTTTCACTTAAATGTGTATGTAGGTAGATCAAATGGTTTTGTGTTTCAGTGTGTGGTTCTTAGGAACTAAAGAAAGAGCGTTGCTGTTAGCAACACTCTTTACACATTAAAAAAACCGTCATGAGAGGACTGAAGGATCTAACCTCTAGAACATTTTTGAAACATGTTGCCACTTCAAGGCAAAGTTGATCCTATGGAAAACCTTATAGCGTTAAACTAATGTTGAATCAACAGCCCATATTTTTTGTGCATACTCTGTTTTCATAGCCTGGGCTTGGTGTTTAAATGCACTCCTCCCCATGAAGGGGGTTCTGCCTCCATTTACAGTTGAGGGTGACCATTCGGCGAGGAAGAATGTGCTTCTCCTGAAAGTGTGTCTCTTTGGGGACAGCAAAGTATAAGTTTGCTATACTGTTAAAATGGATTTTCTTGAAAAATTCTGTTAGCACTAATCAGACCAATAAAATATTTGTTCTGGGGGCAGTGTGGGGGACGAGAGATCAGCGATTTTTCCTTTTATGTGTATTTCATTACAGTGACAGATACGCTCCAAGCTTGCATGAACTCGGGCACTTTAATGTCCCAAGCCTCTGTGACCCAGCAAACCTCCAGTGGTTTATTCTCACCAAAGCCCAACAGGCAAGAGACAACATGAAAAGAAAAGAAGAGTTAAAGGTTATTGAAAATGAATTGATAGAGGCTTCGACGAAGAAATTTTCTCTGGAAAAGTTTTATAAGGAGCCCAGTGTTTCTAGTATACAAATGGTGGATTGTTGTAAGAGACTTCTAGAACAGTCACTGCCTTACCTCCGAGGGATGCACCTGTGCATTTCACATTTTTATTCTGTCATGCAAGACGGGGACGTTTGTATTCCTTGGAACTGGAAGGATGGAGAAGCCGTTAAGTAACACAGGAAGCTGCATTATTTTTTGAAGAGACAAGAGACCGTTAAGCTTATTTAAATCCACAATTTAATATAACAGTATTATTTACATATTATAAGAACAAAGTTTCTAACTGCTGCTCTAAAAGTAGACCTTTTCTAAAATTAATTTCTGCTGCAAAACTTGTTTCAAAAGGTTTTCTCTCCCAGTCTTTACGGTGTTTCCTGTCTGATTGGCAAGACTGGGAACAAAGCTGTCTGTATATGGGAACCTACTGTGTGGTATGTAAGTGAGGGCCCTGCGGACCTGAGTATATGTACTCGTATGTGCGGGAACGTGGGGAAGCGTGACCGGGCCTCATTCAGTGCAGCTCCGAAGTGATGGGACTCCGTCAACACACAGCTTTGTAGCTGCATCTCTTGGGCGGATACGAACTCGCATTTTGCAGCCAGCAAGGGACAGCTGCATCCAAAACAGAAGACTGACGGTCGGCAAAAATTAGATAACCAGATTTTTCCTGAATGTATGTATGGTATTGACATTGACCTCAGCAGTCTGATACCAGTTTGTTAAAACATCTTAGTGACAGAAAATTTAGGTGAGTTTTCCTGCCCATTAATACGTCACAACTGCTGGTAGCGTGACACAACACAGTGAAGGCCTTTGGATCAGTGAGGGGACTCGAGTTTTTTGCGGCCACACTATCTGGAGAAACCCTTGTTTGTGTCCCACAGACTCCAGCAAGTAGAGTCAAGTGTGAAATGGCCCAGGCCGTAAGGGACTGTCACCCCCTCAAGCCCGGTCTTCCTGTTCCTGCTGGTGTTTCTCACGCGGGGTAAAGCCCCTCGCAGCCACACATGTGCGGACACAACACAGCCCGGCCCTGAGGGCCACGGGGAGCCCGCTCTGGAAACACGGGGCTTCTCTCTCTGCAGTTCTTTGCCTTCAGATAACGTATTTCACCAGATCCAAAACCTCTTCCGCTTGCTTCTCAGGACATAAGGGGAATCTAGTTTGGGACACCGTGTTTGTGGCTCCTCCTGCTTGCTGAAGAAACGAGAAAGGAATTTTCTCCCCACGGTGCCTCAGAAAGGGAAGGAGCTGCTAACCATTCTTAAAGTATATTTCAAATTCATCTAAAACACCGATTGTTTAAACTGTTTAAATTCAAATGTGTGTTTGAATTTAAAAGAACTGATGTGTAATCTTTATAGTTTGCGCATATCATCCCTGTGAACGTTCAGTAGCAACTTTACTGGTTTTTTTCTTCCCTAATGTAAAAATGTTGCCTATAAAGATTTTCCAGAGCCAAATGATGGGGGTGAAAAATTCCTTCCTTAAAAGTCATGTAAGAAAATTTATTGAAAAATAGTTTTGAATTATGCCATTTCTAAAATCAACTAATATAGAATCCTCAGTAATGTGTTTTGAATTGGACTCTGAGAACTGATTGTTAATAAATAATCCATTAATCAGAAAAAAAAAAAAAAAGAAACTAAAGATAAAAGCATAATCATAAAAACATCCACAGAAAAAAAAGAAGGACAAGAAAAACCCTGACTTCACAACAAAAACAGGAAAGCTCAAGACAATGAAGTGATAGCTTTAAAGTTATGAAATAAAAAACGATAAACCTAGAATATTATAGTCAGGAAATATCATTCAAAACAAAAGGCAGGGGTGCCTGGGTCGCTCAGTCAATTAAGCGTCCGACTTCAGCTCAGGTCATGATCTTATGGCTCGTGGGTTTGAGCCCCGCCCTGGGCTCTGTGCTGACAGCTAGCACAGAGTTTGGAACCTGCTTCAGATTCTGTGTCTCCCTCTCTCTCTGATCCCCCCGTGCTCATGCTGCCTCTCTCTCTCAGAAATAAATAAAACATTAAAGAAATTTTAAATTAAAAAATAAAATCAAAGACAAAATTTTTTAAATTACTCAGACAAATAAAATCCAGGAGAAAAGATGAGAATGTACTTCAGGTTACAAAGAATGATCCTAAATGTAACATGAAAGTACAGGAAAGAATGAACAGCTCTAGGGATGGTATATTAATGAATAAAAGTAAAAGTTTTCTGACTATGAAGAGCAAAAAGAAGTACATCATCTGAAGCTTACAGCATGTAGAAATAAAATACATGACAAGAAAATCAAAATAAGGTATCATATAACAAAGGAATCGCTGAGAAATAGGAAAAAAATGAAGTAAGCCCAACTATTACCCCAACCGAATGCCTAAACGAAGTTTTCATGACACAGTGCTGAGAGAAGAGACACACACACATACCGACACACACAGACACACACACAGACACACACACACACACACACACAGAAAGAGAGCTGCAGAGATCCTCAGAGGGTCCCCTGAAAGATAACAGAATTAGTGGTGAAAGACATTAAAGCAGTTATTACTTTAGTATTTCATATGTTCAAGAAGATTGAACATGTTAAGTAGTGACAATGAAGGTATTTTTTTAAAGGTCCCAAGTAAACTTCTAGAAATGAAAACTCTAATGACTAAGATGAAAAATATATTGGTTGGGAGTAGTGGCAGAAGAAAGATCAGCGAACTTGAAGACATTGCTATAAAAAAAATTCCATTAAGAAATACAGAAAGAAAAAAGACTGAAAAAAAATGGACAGAGTATCAGCAAGCTGTGGGACAACTTCAAGAAGACAAATATGCTTAACCGACTTAGCCACCCAGGCAGCCCAGCCAAGACCATCTTAAAGACGAAACAGTTGGAAGACTTTTACTATCAGAATTCACGACTTGCACAATTAAGACAGTGGTGTTTTGGTGCAAGGATAGACAAATAGAGTCTATACATGAAACAAACAGAGTCTTTAAATGCACATCTACATATAGACTCGCTTGGTTTATAACAAAAGCATCACTGCAAGTCGTCAGAGAAATAATAGTCTTTTTCATTAGATGATGCTTCAAAAATTACAAATTCATACAGAAAAAACAGTAAGTCTTTACCTCACACCAAACCCAAAAATCAATTCAAGTGGATCATAGACCTTAACGTAAAGCTAAAAAATAAGTCTCTAGAAGGAAACAAAGAAGAGTAACTTCAAAACTTTGGGGTAGGCAAAGATTCCTTAAACATGACAGAAAAAAGTGCTAACTTTAAAAGAAAGTTGATAACTTTGACTTCATTAAATTGAGAACTTCTCTTATCAAAACACATCAGGAAATTTAATATGCAAATTACAAACTGGAAGAATATGTTTGTAGTATATATGTCTGATATATCTGATAAAGATTTGTTTCCATAATATACGAGAGGAAAAAACGAAAGGAAGCTAAACATAGTGTTTATCCAAGAATGTTTATAGCAGCTTTATTCCTAAGAGCCAAAAATTGGCAATATTCTAAACATCATCCATCAAAAGGTAAATGGGGGTGGGGGTGGGCACCTGGGTGGCTCAATTGGTTAAGCATCTGACTCTTGATTTTGGCCCAGGTCATGATTTCACACTTTGTGAGATCAAGCACCATGTCGAGCTCTGTGCTGACAGAATGGAATCTGCCTGGGATTCTCTCTCTCCCTCTCTTTCTGCTCCTTCCCCACTTGTACTTGCTCTATCTCTCTCTCAAAAACAAAAAAAATGTAAATGGATATACAAATTGTGGTGTATTCACACAATGGAATGTGTCACCTCAAGAAAAAAAGAATAAACTACTGAAAAATACAACATAGATAAATCTCCAAAATATTATCCTAAAGATGATAAATGCAAAAGTACAAACTACAGATTACATTCATGTAAAACTCAAGAACCAGCAAACTAATGTATGTGACAGGAGTCAGAAAACTTACCTCTAGGAGATGGGATATCAACTGGGAGGTAATACAAGAGGCCCCTCGGGGGCTAAAGATGTTCTGTATCTTGAGCTGGGTAGTGGTTACACAAGCATAGAACATCTGTAAAAATACATACACGATTAAGGGTGATCTTACCATATGCAAATTAAACTCTAATTTTAATGAAATATGGACCAGCAGTTCACATATTATTTGGCACGTTGCATTCGCGACCTCTGTGTACCACACTCTTTGGTATTAGGGCATTTAGAAATGAAATCTTCTCAACCTATTAGAAACACTAGATAGAAAAGTGGGTAAGAGTTTGGGTTTGAGAGTCAACCCTTCAGCAAAACTTCGTTGAGCTCCTTATTATGTGACAGGCTATACTATGCACAGTGTTCTAATAAACAGTCAGTAATATAGCCAAGAGCTCACACTCACAAGAATCATAGTCTAGTGGGAGATACAAATAACAAAATATAAGCAGTATAATCATAAGCATTCCCAAGAAATATAAGGCAGGACAACAGGACACAGAGTGAGGAGGTTCCTTGAAATGGCTTCTCTGAGATCACATCTGAACAGAGACCTGCATGATACAAAGAAGCCAGACATGGTAATATTTAATGGAAAATTAAGTCTTAGGCCTTTAATTTTCTAGTCTGAAAACCTTCGGCAAGAGACTTAATTTCTGATTCTTAGTTTCATCATCAGTAAACTGGGAATCATGCAATTCCATATTATACTAGGGATTAAATGAGACAAGATATGGAAAGTGCTAACACAATATGTGACATACCTTACGGACACAATAATAATTGCTACAATCAATGAATAATATAGCAGAATGAATACATTGGTACTATATAGTATAGGTTTTTTCTTATTCTATTCAATCTTTTTCTATTCAATCATAGCTTTTTATGATTTCTTTTTGTATTTCAGAAGATTTTGCTGTCCTAATATATGAAGCTGTTATGTTCTCTCCTCTTAGTTACTAAACCTTTAACCTTTTACTCTTTTTTTTTTTTTAATTATTATTTCTAGGAGAGAGAGAGAGAGACAGCATGAGCAGGGGAGGGTCAGAGACAGAGGGAGACACAGACTCTGAAACAGGCTCCAGGCTCTGAGCTGGCAGTCAGCACAGAGCCCGACGCGGGGCTCGAACCCACGAACCGCGAGATCATGACCTAAGCGAAAGTCGGACGCCCAACCGACTAAGCCACCCAGGCGCCCCAACCTTTTACTCTTTGAATTCTGTTTGTGTGCAGTATGGGAAAGGATCTAAATTCATTTTTCCCTTTAGGAAAAGTAGGCGTCCTAACCTCATTAATTGAAAGCTAATCTTTTTTCTTTTTTTTTTTTTTTCACTCTGAGTTAACAGCACCTTTGTTATATTGTCACGTTGTCCATATGCAGAGATTTGTTTTTGGCCTCTCTCTTCTATTCCAATTAGTTTATTTGCCTGTCCCATAGCCAGGAAAAGTCTTAATACCTGCTAGGTCAAACCCATCCTCCAAATCATCAAAATTTTAAATTATAAGTAACTAAATAGGAGTCTGGAAGTACAAAGTTTTTTCATAAGTTTAGAAAGTCTTGGTCTGACATAGACATGTATAAGGCATCAGGGTGGTTTCTACTGCATCCTATACTTGATGATTAATCAAATTTATTTCTCAGCTTTCTCATATTTCTGTTTT